TTTCTGTAAGATTTTCTTCTATCTTAAAAACCAGGACTTTCTTCAATTTCCATGTCCTTCCTCATTATCACCTCTCTTATTTCAGCACTGAACTTTTCAGAAGACTTGTCTATTTCTAGTTTCATTTCTGTACCTCTTCCTAGTTCCCCTAATCTTGCCTTTGAAACTGTCCTAACAAAGATTAATATTGACTTTATTTTGTAAAATCTAGTGTGCAATTTTTAGATTAAGCTTATTTGGCCCCTTGATAATTGTGGACCCTGCTGCCCAACCCTTCCCCTGCCCCCCAAAAACCCTCTTTCCTATGCATTTTATGACAGCATTCTCCTGTTTCCTTTCTCCTCTGATCACACTCTCAGTTTCCCTGTACAAGTCCCTTAAACAGAATGTCCATCAGGATTTGGGACTTGACTCTTTGCTTTACAAATCTTTTCTCACATTTCAGCCTTGTACGTCCAACATCCTGTTGGACGTTTCCCCTGGGATATTTAGTACGTCAAACACAAGAAGTCTAGGGGCCAGGGATTTAACTCAGTGGTTCCGCCGCCTGCCTTGCAAGCGCAAGGACCCGAGTTTGATCTCCGGTACCAAAAAAAAAAAAAAAAAAAAGAAGTCTAAAGCAGAATTTACTCCCCCACTTTCAAACCTGATGTTCCCTATTGCAATGTCACGATCGCCCCCTACTTGCCCTTAGCAGAAACCTTCTTCTGCATTAGAAACCTAGGCCTTGGGCTTCACTCTTCATCATCACTCCCAATATCTAATCGCTCTCCAGGTCGCCTGGCTTTATTACATGTATATCTCTTAATTCCAACTACACTTCCGCACCCCCATGATTCTTACTACACCCAGGCCACCCTCATGTTGTACCCAGATTACTTCAGTAGCTTCCTACCTGGGCCTCCTGCCAGTAGGTTTGCTTCTCTCCAACCCTTTAGAGATCTCCAACTAGAAAGATTTTTCTGAAAAGAAAATCTGAATATGTCATACCTCTATTCAAAACTCATTAACAATAACACTCTTATCTTCAGAATAAAGAGCAAACTTTCAGGCTGTATGGCTGCAGAACAATTAGATTCTAGATAAAAAACCTACCTCATTCCTATCAACCAAAAAGTTAGCAATGGTTAGAAGGGAGCCTGAGGGAGGAAAGGGGCCACCCTAGGGACATATACCAAGAGCAGTGTTGCTGAAATACTTAGCTTTGAGTGAGTGGTAAAATGGGAGAGGTAATCCTGGTTCTCCCACACTAAGGTGGGCTCTTTGAAACATGCTAAAATATCTTAGGCCAGAGGTGGTCTGACTATTGGAAGAAACAAAAGCAGCAGCTAATCCCAGTTAGGGAGAAGATTATCCAATTTAGTCCCCACAGAACTCCTATATACTAAAAAAAAAGACATGAGCTTACAACTAAAAATCAAAAAGCACACAGGTGGACAAGCACTCTGAGGGTCAGCAGAAACAATAAACAACAAATCTATGGGCCGGGGATTTAGCTGTGTTTCTGCCACCTGCCTCGCAAGTACAAGGTCCCAAGTTTGATCCCCGGTACCAAAAAAACAAAAACAAAAAAACAACAAATCTAAATCCCTAAGGACTATAAATATGAGGCAAGTCAGATGAAGAATAAAGGAGGGCTACATATTAAATGTTTCAAGAAATAAAAGGCACAATCCCAAGAATGTACCAATAGAATTGATAAGAATCACATTTAGGAAAAAGAGGAAACTTGCAAAATCAGACTTTTGAAATTAAAAATTTTCAATGAATGGGTTAAATAGAGTTAGTTCAAGAGAATTGGTGGGTTGGAAGATATACAATATGTCTGAAGAAACTACCTAGAATGCTGAATGATAAAGAGATAAAAAATATGACAGACAAGATATAAAATATGGAAAATAGGCTTAACATCTAATTGTAGAATCGCAGAAAGAGGAACAATAAGAGAGAGGTACTTCTGAAGAGATAATGGGTGTACATCTCCAACACCTAAATGTCAATCTGCAGGTCTAAAAAGTATAATATACCTAGGATAAATAAAAAGAAACATGGCAGGGCATGGTACTGCATGCCTGTAATCCCAGCAATCTATGGGAAGCTAAGGCCAGAGGATTGCAAGTTCAAGCCCAGCTTGGGCAACTTGGTGAGATTCTGTGTCAAAATAGAAAACAAAAAATAAGCTTGGGATATAGCTCAATGCAAAGACCCTGGGTTCAATTTCCAGTTCAGCAAAGAAAAAGGCGGGGGGCAGGGGGAAGAGGAGGAGGAGGAGGAGGAGAAATATGTGCCATGGTAGCCGGTCCACAAGATAGTTCCCAGTGATTTCATCTCCTGCTATTCACGCTATTGTACAGCTGCCTTTCAAACTGTACTAAGGTTAGTCTGGTGCAGACACCAGTAGGATGTGAAGGAAGGGATACTGTGTTACTTCTGAGACTGGGCTATAAAAGAAAGTGTCTTCCATCTCGGTTACTCTCTTGCTTCTTGTTCTCTCCAAGATCACACCGCTGCAGGGAAACCCACTGCCAGGTCATGGGCAACCCTAAAGAGAGGCCCAAATGATGAGAGACTGAGACCCCCTACAAGCAACCCTGTGAGCGAGCCCTTCTGGAAGGAGATCCTCAAGTCCTGGTCAGGCCTCAAGTGACCACAGTCCCAGCCAACAGCTTGACCAAATCCTCTTAAAACACACTTGAGCCAGAACCACCCAGAAAAACTGTGTGAAACAATCAAGTATTGTGTTAAATGTTAGGGTAATTTTCACACCGTGATAGATAACTAATACATTGCCAAGCCCAGTTTTGAATGGCTTGCAGAGTCTTCTCCATCTGGCCTAGACTCTCCAGCCTCACTTCTTGCCACATATTCACTCACAAATTACACTTCAAACACACAAACTTCTTTGGGTTTTTGGGAATGCACCATGTTCTCTCCCACTTCCACCCTCTGTACAGCTTACAAGATGTGCTTCCTGCCTGACACATTCTTCAACACCTTCTCCCTTCTTTCAACACTTGTACACCCTCAACTCACTGCTCCCCATCATCAAAGCACTCATCACACAGTACAGTGGTGTTGATAAATTGTTCGTCTTCTCATTAGACCTCAGGCTCCAAAAAGATGGGGACAATACCTCTCTCCATTATTATGCTCACATAGTTTCTAGGACAAAGACTGTACTCAGTAAATATTTGTCCCTTAAAACCCACAGGATAGGGACAAGCAGGAAGGGTAATGGTTGGTGATTATAAACATTCTCATGCAATGATTCAAATGAAATCTTCAGCACTCAACTGACATAATTTTTAAACAACCAACAAATTCCTACACAGCATCCCATATACTCTCAAATTTAGGGGAGGTTTAGGGCCTAGGTTCAAAAGTTGGATGGTTTCCAGCCCTTCCTAAGTCAAACCCAGTTGTAGTTTATTATTATGCTAGAACTGAAATCTCCAAACATCAGACACACCCATTCCTGAAAGCACACTCACAACTGTATTCAAATGCCAAACAAAATTACTTTTTAAAAAATTACCACCTACATTTGTAGGACAATTTCAGCTTATTGACTTTTAAGAGCTGATCATATGTGGTATTTGTGGTGTATGTCTAAATAAGAACACGTACATGCACATATGTACATAAAACATGTCATAAAATATTAATCACTAGTACCCTCTACTGGCAGAAACACCTTCTCTGTTCATATGAATGGACTTATTGCCCTCTAGTGACCACAACCTATAAAGACAGAAAATCCAGCAGCAGATGGGAGAATCTCCTTCCCTAGCAGGATGGGGTTTTATGTTCTTTAACCATCTAATTTTCTCAGATTTCGGTTTATATTACAGGGGTGCAACTCTAAAACTCTTGGGGGCCCTCTAGGGATTTCACACATCTCTTCCCAGCTGTTAGTGCCAGTCAGAATCGGCTGTCTCTCCTGCTTCTCAGGAACAAGAGGTCAAGGGGAGGCAGAAGAGGCAACGGCTGCACTAGCGAGGCAAGAGCGGCAGCTGTGAGTGACTGCCCTGGCCTCCCTGGGGAGCTAGGAGCAGCTTGAGGAACACATGTTGGCCCTCCCTTGTATATTACCCACAGTTGTGCACTGTTCTAAAATGGCAATTCAACATAGTCCTTCACTTACCTTTGAAATATCTCCAAAGCTGTACTAAATGATGCAAAAGGCAAATGTTGCTGTCATTTTGTTTTATAAACCAGCCCCTGCAAGTTATTTCTACTTTGGACAGAAAAACGAAGTTTCTTTCAAGATTTAACTGAAATGTCACCTCCTCTTTGAAGCCTTTTCTGAACTAACCAGATTTAGGTGACTGCTCTGTCCTTCAGGGCAGCATATACCTAGTCTAGATCAGAATGGAACCCAGAACATTACATTTAGATGGTTTATTTATAACCCAAATTTCACTCTTCTCATTTGCCTACCTGCTTGTATTGCCTGCCAAACTTTAAGATCCTTGAGGCTATAAACCATGTCTTACTCATTTCTGCACAACCAGCATCAAGCACACTCAAAATGGTACCTACTGCCAGTTACCAGTATAGAAGGTAGGCATTTAGGAACTTTTATAGCAATTTGACAGAGTAATTCTATATCTGCTGTGCCTAATTTTAAAAAGTGGTTCTTGTCCGGGTGTGGTGCTACACACTGGTAATCCCAGCACCCTGGAGGCTAAGGCAGAATTACCGTGAGTTCGAGGCCAGCCTGGGCTACACAGTGAGTTCAAGGCCACCCTGAACCACATAGTGGGACGTCTCAAAACAACAGCAACAAAGTAGACCTTGTGTCTATATATTTTTTGTCTTGTATATTTTAATTGTTTTCTGTGCAACCACTGGAGAATTTTTTTTAAAAAACAACAGCCTTTTCCCAAAAATAACTTGAAAAGCACAGGGCAGATAACTTATTATTTGAAAGTAAGAGGAAGGGAAGAAGAAAGGAGGCAAAGCAGAAGTACTTTTCATAAAATTCAGAAGCAACATACCTATCCTTGTTGATTTTAACACTTCCCTGGAGGGTATTTTCTTCTTTAATTCTCGTAAGGCTTCGACCAGGTTCTCTTTGGTTTGATCAGGAAGCTCCAACATACTTTTCCATCTTTTTATGTCTTCTATGACCACAACTCTCTGAGAAAAAAAAAAAGTCATTTGGAAAATGGAAAATTTTCATTAGAAAGACATCTGCCTTCACCTGAGCTAATGGGGCTCCTATTGACATATGAATTATTGATTATGACCTGAGCCAAAGCACAGTGTGTCTGATGGCCCCAAATGATGGGTAATTGCTTAAAAGCAGGTCTTGCTTACTGCAAATCAGGAAAAGAGTTGCATCTATTAGGAAAAGTGCAAGTTTTAATCTTACCATGTCAGACACCACGGGGCACTTAGCAGTGAAAGGTAATAAGGAAAAGAAAAAGGATGCTAAGGTGAATCAACCTTATAGCTCACTTAAGACTGTCTTAATTCATAGGCATAGACAGAGAGCAGAAGTCATAAAGACATGTTTATTTCAACAATAAAAAACACACTTCAATGGTTCCCCACTTCCAAGGGGAAAACTCAAACTCAAACTTTTTTTTTTTTTTTTTTTGATACCTGGGATTGAACTTGGGACCTTGAGCTTATGAGGCAGGTGGTGGCACCACTGAGCTAAATCCTGGCCCTCAAACTTTTTTTTTTTTTTTCGACTGGGGATCGAATTCAGGTCCTGGTGCTTGTGCAGCAGGTGGCAAAACCACTGAGCTAAATCCCCAGCCCCAGAGTAACCTACTACCTACAATGAAAATGGCTGATATTTTGCTGTTTCCCATAATAAAATACTATAAAATTTAAATCTTTTATAAACCTTTCGCCAAACTTATTTCCCTCTGACCCTTCCCAGATGAAACTACCATTTTAAAGTTGATATAAAGTTTCCCATTAAGTGTAAAATACTAGCAATTAAGAAATATAGGTGAAGGAGAGGGGAAAGCTCTTTGTGTTGTAAGTTTTTGATAGTTTTTAAATTATTTCAACTAAAAAAAAAATAGTAAAGTGGCAGACAAAAAATAAAAGTTGCCCGCGCATGGTGTCACATGCCCGTAATCCCAGCACTTAGGAGGCTGAAGCAGGAGGATCACTGTGAGTTCAAATCCAGCCTGGACTACACAGTGAGACTCTGTCTCCAAAAAAAGGTTGCTTTTATAATTACAAAATTAAAAATCTGGTGTCCAATCATCATTGCTCTGGAGAGGTGGATTCTTAGGGATTAGAATGGGGTATCAAGAGGCTTCTGAGATCCTGGTAATGTTTCCCTGATCTGGATGCTGGTGTGTTCACGTTGTAGAAATTCCTTAAGATTAACAATTAGGATTTGTGCATTTTTCTACACGCATATTTGATAAGGTAGTTTGATTAAAAAAAAAGTAGTCCTCCTGAAAAAAATCTCATCTCCTTCCCTTGGCTGGGGTCTGCTTCTAGCACAGAAGCCCACTGTAGCAGGGAGGGTAAGTTTGAAGAAATGAAAGGAAAAGCTTACTTTCTTGCTGATGCCATGTACTCAGGTTTTGGCGCTCTCTGAACTGGCAGATATTTAAAGCAGACTTTTTCTCTTACATGATAGCCTTTGTAGTTCCTTGGAGAGCTCCCATTACTGAGATCTCACCTGCGACACCAAAACATGGGCAAATGCTTCTCCCAGCCAGCCACTTACACACACTCCCCTAAGCCCCAGGTGTTGGTAGTGCACTTCACATGGACTTAGTAGGGTCCCATTGTCCTTCCCAGGACCCTGGTGACCCCCAACCACTTTAATTCAACTCCAGGCCAGCCAGAACTTTCTTCCATGATTGCCCATAATTTTTCCCCTAAAAAAAATACTAAAGGTAACAGTCTTCTTGATGTTGCCATTTCGCCCTCTGGCATAAGTCTGTCATTGTCTCTGCACTTAAGACTTTCCCAGGCACAGGTCTGATCCCTGTGCCCACCACCTCCAGGAGCTGAAGTCAAGTTCTCCGTGTGAAACTCCCACAGTACACACACTCTGAAGCCATTCTTTCTCCTCTCTTCCTTTAAATTCAACCTTCTCTGCAGCTGATGGTTCAGGATTCCAAAACTGATCTTCCTGGACTGTTTTCACAAGGCTTACATAGATGGTCCAGAATCTCACTGGGAACATATTATTTGACACCTATTGCTTTGTTCTTGACTTTCAGGGCCCTCAGTTGAAACTAAAAGTCCTTTTCTATCAGGTGGAATATAAAATATTATTAATGTTAAGTGGTATGAGAAATATATAAACCCAAATAAGGGGATATTTTCAACAGGAAGCTATGAATATCATGCTTTTTTCACTCCATGTATTTTATGATCCCAGTTATTTTTAGTAGTATTGCATAGTATTCCATTATTTTTATATACAAGTAGCTTAGAATTTTGAAATCTATTCTCCTAATGAGTATTTAGAGTTTTTCTCCCCCTTATGTTTTTCCTATTATAAACAATGCTCCAATGAACTCCTGCCTATGACAGACTTTTAAAAATAGATTTCTTCCACCCCTTTATTTTCATCTTTTCTGGGCTATTATGCTTCAAATATCCTATGGCTGCTTTATTTTCCCCCCTTCCCCTACTCAAGTGAGAATCTCTCTTTTAGCAGACATGCTTAGTTTATGCATTTACTAGGGTTACCAAGAATTAAATATAGGTTCTCTTCTTTTCTCTTTTCTTATCTTCCATTAACAGACTGAGTTTTCTTAACTTTGTTTTTATTTTATGGCTTAAAAGTTAGTTTAGAAATTATATTTCTTTCATTTTAGTATACCCTTATAATTTTTAAGATGTATGATCAATAAAATCTATAGCAGCCTTCTCTTTGCAAGCCTCTATTTCAAAAACTCCTTTTATATTATCTTTCCTTTCACATTTCTATTTTTCTGTGATGTACTCTAGGTGATTTCCTCAGATCTAGCTTCCAATACACTATTACTCTCTTTAGCTACAATTTGTCTACTTTTAATCTGTTCAATGTGTTTCTGATCTAACAAATGGATTTTTTTCATCGTACAAATTCTGTATTTTCTTCCAAACCTGCCTGTTCTCTTTTCATACTGCCTCATTTTTATCTTAGGATTGCTATTCATTTCTTTACCTCTGTGAACCCTGTAGATATATTTAAGGTCTCTTTCAGATTGTTCTCTTATCTCTACTTCTTGGGATCAAGAGTCTATTACATCTGTTCATTCTCCCTTCTGGTATTTTCTTATAAAGTTTGTAATTTTTGACCATGAGTTCATATTCAAAGGGGATTTTTTTTTTTTTTTTTCGAGACAGGGTCTCACTATGTAGTTCAAGCTGAACTTGAACTCACTATGTAGCCCAGGCTGACCTGGAATTCACAGTGATTCTCCTGCATCAGCCTCCTGAATGCTGGGTCTACAGGTGTGCACCAAGATTCCCAGCTTCAAAGGCGACTGTTTTCCATGGCAGACCTGTGTTCCCTAAGATGTGAAGTCTCTCAATAGGGAAATCTCAGGGCCAGGGATTTAGCTCAGTGGTTCTGGCGCCTGCTTCGCAAGTGCAAGATCCTGAGTTCGATCCCTGGTACCAAAAAAAAAAGGAAAGAAAGAATTCCACATATATGCCAGACATGGTGGCACATACCTGTGGTCCCAGCACTCAGGAGGCTGAGGCAGGAGGACTGCCCTGAGTGTGAGGCCAGCCTGGGTTACATAATGAGTTCAAAGTCATCCTAAACTACATATTGAGACCCTGCAAAAACAAAAACAAAACAAACAAAAAACACAACCCAACAACAACAAAAAAGAATTCAAAGAAATGTTTCCTTATCTTTGTCCAAATATGGCCCTGAAAATACGTATTTCAAATTCTTACCTAAATCATTTAGGATGTGTCAAGAGCCATTCTACATAAATTTTTTTTGGAAAATCATTTCATAATTTAAGTATGGCTATAGCTATCTAATCCCCAATGTCACCTTGCCCATGAGCCAGCTATGGCATATGGAAACAACTCCGTTTTGCCTCTGGTCTGAAGGCCTCAGTGGCCCCATGATACTGTGATGCTCAAGGGCAAGTGTACATCAGCTGAAGACATCTTGGTTCTTTGAGAAATGAGCAGTAATAAAAAAACCAGAAAGGTGGGGCCTGGGATTTAGCTCAGTGGTGCTGCTACCTGCCTCATAGACACAAGGTCCTGAGTTTGATCCCCAATCTCTGATCCCCAGTACCAAAAAAAAAAGAGAGAAAGGTTTTACCTGATGGAAGGACAAGTTATTTATTAGCCCACTATTTTGGCCCACCTACTATTATAAGAATGCTCTCCTTATCACCCTCATCAACATAAGATCCTCAGTGACCTAAGATCCTCATGAGCATAAGATCTTCACCAACATAGGATTACCGCCACCCTCTAAGTCACCTGCTACTCCCTCCAATTATTTTGTGTACCAAATAAATGATGGCTAGCTTGGAGTGTCTTTGTCTTTCTTTACTCTGAGGCACTGACCTCCTGGCCACCCATGTACTTTGAAATTATTCAAGTCTCTATTGTCTTTTTTTCTTTAGCCCTCGCTGTCCCCTTTCTAGGCAGTCGGAGGATTGATCACCCTCCAATAAGGATGCAAATGGACAGAAAAGGAATAGAAAAGTTATAATGAGGAGCAAAACAGTCTTCACCAGGAAGATGGGCTCTCCATCTGGTATTTCAGCCGGGGATGGCTGCAATAACAGGTTTGACAAAAACAATTAAGGAAAATGATTCACTCGTAAGCAATAATGTGGGCACAATTCCACTGCTTGCGGGGCAGGAGACAATATATTGGCTAGTTAATGCTACAAAGACAGGAAAGGCTCACAGAGCATACTGAAATGCTGAACCTTAAAAAATTAGCATATTCTAGGATTTTTAATTTTTAAAAAATCTGCTATTGCAACCAACAGAAGAAATCATACCCTCTTAAGGGAGTAAGAAGAGATTAACCAAATTAACCTTTACCACTTAAACGTATACTTCATGAGGTCTATTAAGTGTAACTTTTACTGAATGTAATAAGGCTATGGTAAAATTACTTGCAATATACTGATAAAAGAAGCACAGTGGACCTAAAATTTCAAGACTTTTATACCTTC